CCTACGAAAATAGGTTCCATGCATTTAGGTCCTCTACCAATAATATTAGGTCCTCGGAGATAGGTTGTCTGCCCTCTTTACCTAAAAATCCGGCATGCAAAAGTAATAAATGAAATACTCGGACAACATCAAGGTCATCCATCCGAGTAAAACCATATTTATCAAATAATCTCTTCAAGTCGTTGACGTGTAAACTCGGCTTCAAGTTTGCCAGCTCAGGAAAAACCCGAGATAACCATGATGGGCGGGTGATATGACTAGTGTACCGACCTACATCATCGTGTCCGAAGCGTAGACCAGTGATTAAGCAAAACTCCTCCCGCCCAAAACAAGTATGTGCCGGAGGAAAATGAAACCATATCTCCTCATCACCACGTTGTATGCGCTCGGGTTAATCGTTAGTCATGGTCTGAAGAAACAAATGTGTCAACATAGCATCTCCACCCGTATGTTGCACTTTCAGCCATGGCCCGAAGCAAGTATCCTCAAACAATTTTCTTTGTAGAGGTGTAAGCGTCGACGCAATTTTAGTGGCTAGGCTTAATTTATTCCTTAAGATCAATGCAGCCGAAAAAAATTTCTACAAAAACAATAAACATACAGTTAGATATACCAAAAACTCCTTATTATACACTATAAACAGACATGATATTAAATAGTGAAAACAAAGCCAAATATGTTTCAAACTAGAACGGTATTCACCCAAGTCATTATTCCATCATAGTTCACAAAATGCATCAGATAACATTCCAGAAGTAAGCACTTATATAAACATTTAAAAGGACATCATATAGGTTTAGTGCAGGTTCAAAGGCAACATAAAGAGTAGTAGTTTATTCTTGAAACTTAAATTAGCAACACTGTGAAGTTAGTATTTGTCTTTAATTTTTGGTTGAAGTAATGCAATTCATTCAAGTTTCAATTTACAGAATAAGAGAAGTTTCTGAAACTTAAATTCGCAATGCGAAAATGAAAATCGCAACGCGAAACTAAAATCGCGTTACGATTTAGGGTTTCTTCAACAAAAAGACAAAACAAAAATAAATACTAACTTCACAGGGTTAAAGACTAAACAGTTTAACAGTATTGGCAGCAACCGAATGAATTTACTAAGCAATCTTAGTGAAATGGTTAATCTCTATATATTGAAATTACCAGTAAATTTATCATCAATATAAGAAAAATCTAATAATAATACAAAAATTTCAAAATAAAAATAAGAGATTAAAAAAACTAACCCTCGGTGGTTGATTTTCCATTTCTGACCGTGAATGGTTGTGAGGGTTGCTGTGAGAGATAGAGATAGACGGATTTCGTTGGAGATGGGGACGAATGTCGCCGTAGAGAGTGAGAGATGAAGATGAGACTGAGTTGTGATTTAGGGTTTTAGGTTAGAGATGATTTGTGATAATACTGTTTATATTTGTGTTGCGAAATTAATATTGTGTTTCGCGTAAAAACATTTGACTTTCGTGTTGCGAATTTGACTATCGCGTTGCGAATTTGACTTCTGTGTTGCGATTTACAAATTAGCATTACGAATTTGACTTTTTGTGTTGCGAATTTGACTATCGCGTTGCGAATTTGACTTTCGCGTTGCGAATTTGGCTTATGTGTTGCGATTTACAAATTCGCGTTGCGAATTTGGAAAATCGCAATGTGATTTACATATTCGCGTTGCGAAATTGGAAACTATTCGCGTTGCGAATTTGTTGGTCATTTTGGCAAATCCAAAAAAAGTTGGTTAAATTCGTATATTATAAAGCATTTTTGGTCACTGAGATTATTTTCTCTTAATAAAACGAGGTCGGCTTAACCTTAAAAATTGTCGGATTAGTACAAAATTAATTGAATTTATATGGTCACCGGCACGTAATTAACCCGATTACTTTTCAATCATCCATGCATGTATACAAACAAATTTGACAGTTGAAAAAAATATATATACTAACAGATAATATATATATTTTATAAATATAATTGTTTAAGTTTAATTTTTTAAAATTATTTTTATCATTTAAATCATTCAATGAGTTCATATTAAACATTTTTAAATTAATAATAGCATATTATTTCTTATCGACAAAATAATGATGATATGTAATTAAGTTAATCGTCTAATTATAATATAGATTGTTGATAAATTTTATTAAAATGCTCTAATAAAGAAAAAAGGTTGGAAGTCCACATTTCGGCCGAAGGTTTAGCAATAGCCAACATTCATATTAAAGTATAACAATAATTAGTCGTAAGAATGAGGTCTAAAACTCTGCTTAATCTTTAGCATTATGTGCGCTGTTGTCTAAAGTGTGAACACACATGAACCTTAATTAATGTTGATGAATATAATATAAAGTGGGATTATATATTAATGAAATTATATATATATATGGAATTAGTTGAACAAAAGATAACCATGTCTATGGGTAGTGGTGCAATGCATGTGCTTTTGGTCTCCCACTTATGGGTTGGGGGGGGGGGTCACACTCCCACCTACAAACATCTCTACGCCTTCCCTTTAGCTTCTTTTAGGATCACATTTATATAAAGCTCTCTATTCTTTTAAGTTATATAATGCAACCAACTAATTATAAAAATACAATATGTATTTACTCCCTTTTTTTTCTTTATTCCCCCGTTGGTGCCAAAATTAGGGCTAAAGGAAGCCATGCCACATATATACACTATTATATGTATGTGGTAAATGGATGAATTAGATTCGGATTACTCTTAATGTCACTTTTATCGTACAATTAATATATTCTTACAATGTGATATAATCAAAATTTAAATCTTGAGTTCAAACCGTTACGTTTGCAAGATGTGTGCTTTGTTAATATCTAAGAAATATTCTAAATGAATACTACCTTATAATCACTTCAAACTATTCAAAATAATAATAATAATAATGCATACAACAAAGCTTGTAAAAAGGTATATAATATAAAAAAAGTCATCAAATGACCTCAGTGGTTAAATAAAATGTTTTTTTCGAGGTCCTAGATAAACAATTACATCTATAAGTATATATGTTATCAATCGGTTAAAGAATGATTTCAAATCAATGTTATCTTATAGTCATTATAGATTATTAAAAAAATGTTTGGAATATGTAGACACCTATTTTCGTCCGGGATATATATTATAGTATATATATTGAATTATATAATATATTATTATTATTATAGTATTATATTATATATTATAGTAAATATATTTATTATATTATATATTAATATATATTTATTATATATAATATTATATTATTATTATTCGATTTTATCTTTAGGTCAAAGGAGTTCAAAAATCCAAAGTTCAGGTCCAACAACGAAGCTCAACCGAGCCTGCAAGCCTGACCCAACAAGTAAACTTGGTGGGAGCCCAAAAAAGGAAGCTCAATAGTTTGGCCTAGTAGATTAGGGTTTTGATGTTTTAGTAAGGGCGTCGTATCAACCAGGGTCGTTGGATCAGACTTTTTGATCCAACGGCTGAAAACACATTAGGTCACCAGGCCTCCACGCGACAGCAAGGTTACCAACTGATCGAGATAGTCGACACCCGAAATTGGAAAATCGCAAAAATCATAACAACTCGCTTGAACTCAAAACGGAACGAAGTTGATCGGATTTCCAGCGAAAGAATTGAACTGGAAATCCTGTCCTTTTCGGGACTATGACGATCTAATTCAAGGCTATTAAAAACCTCCGACGAAGGTAAGCAAGAGAAAGAAACACAAGCAATCAAAAACAAAAGAAAGCACCGACACAGCAAAAAACGAAACAAATCAAGCAAAAAGCATTCAAATATCTAGAAAAAATAACCAAAAAAATCAAGGTTAGCATCAATTTAGGCTCAGAAGGAGAACGGTCGTCGGGAAAGCGAAAAGACTTCATCGAAAAAAGGTAACCCGAATTTTTTTCTTCAGATCTACGTCGATTAAGGCATGTTCTTGGTATTTGGGGGCTATATTCGGCTTTGGGGCGTTGAGGGAAAACTTTTGGTTAAATTTGGGTTTTTTTCAACCACCAAGGTGGCGGTCGGAGCGACGGTCTGGGCGGCAGGCGTAGACGGCTAGTGGTCGACTATGGGTCAGTTGGGAAGAGAGTCGAGAGGATTTTGTTTTGGGGGTTTAATATTTTGAGAAGTGGTTGAAATGAATGGTTTTTTGGATTTTAGGGAAATTTATAGGGGACCTTTGTGTAATTACTAAATAGTTAAATTATTTACTCGATCCTTGAAGTTTTGATGCGTAATTCATTTTGGTCACTTGTTGTAATTTTACCCTTAAATTTTGAATTAATTCAATTTAATCCCTATTTATATTTTCATATTTTGCAAATCCACCCTTAACCTTTTTTTTCTTTCTTTCTTGCAACATACTTTTAGAATCAATTTGACCCATAAATTTCACTTTAATCCTCTATAATATATATATATTATTTTTATTTTATTATTTACTATATTATTATTATTATTATATATTTTTTAATTTAACATTTTTCTTGTTTAACATTAATTTCATATTTTTAGGTTATTATAAATTTGTCAAAGGTAAGTAATTTGGATCAAACTTTTAAATTTTAATTTAACTTTTAATTTTCACAATTAAGATAATCGGAAAATCAAATTGGTACCGAAAGAGCAGTACATGGATGTTAATCATTCCCTGACTGTAATCGACTCACGAATCCGATAAATTTCAGGTAAGTTGTAGATTAGATAAGTTATGATATCCGATCAACCAAATTAAAATGATCGGTGGTGACTCCTCACACCAAATTAAGTCAGAGCCTGATTCCAGAACCACTCGAAAGACGGTTACTATAAAATAAAATAAAATAAAAAAGAAAGAAAAATATTTATACAAAGGGGAGCCCACCACACATGGGTTTAATCTCTCATTCTTTAGCCTTTCCTCTCCACTTCTTTTCCAACGTCATCTCTTTCTTTCTTCTTCCTTATTGTAGTATATAAAGTCTCATCTTTTCCATTCTTTTTACTCAACCTTTTTCAATCTATACACACACATATATATTCTCTAAAATTTAACTTCCCATCAAAAACCCTAATTTTCTTTTGAAGTTAAAAGGATGGGATTACAAAGCCAGCTAAACGACGTGTCCTCAGATTCGATCCCGCTTCTCCTCGTAGCCATAATCGCCAAGTGCGTCGGCTATATCCGAAGTCTCCTCTCGAGTTTCCTCCATGCGATTGGCCTTTTCCCTTGCCCGGACCAGCCCACCACCAGCACCATCGACGATGTCGGACTCCTGGGTTCCGGCCTCGCCACCCTCATGGTACTCGCCGAGCAGCTCAACCTAAACAAGACTTTCTCCTACAAATACCGCGGGGGAGGAAAGGGGTCCGATTGTATCGTGTGCTTGTGCGGGCTGAGAGACGGGGAACAGGTGAGAAAACTCGATTGCTGCCGCCACGTGTTCCATAAGGATTGCTTTGACGGTTGGCTGGATCATCTCAATTTCAATTGCCCGCTCTGTAGATCCCCTCTCAAAACCGATCATCATCGCGTCGGTTGCACGCGTAAGCGCGTCGGGCAAGATTTGCTCGCCTGGTTTACTTCAGCCTGATTGATTGGATTCCGACCAAGATTTTAGCGATTGGGAATTCTAGAGACTTACGTATCCCCCCCCCCACTTGGAGTCCGATTGATCTCTATTTCAACTATTGTTTTGAGAGGGTTGTTTGGCAACTTTCTTTTCTTATAACTATTTTTAATTTTATTTCCAACCCCCCCCCCCTTCATCTTGGGTTTTTTCTTTTGTACAATAAGAAAATAGTTATCTTTGTGTACAAATCAGTGACAGAGAAGGTGAGCTATTTTTATTTACATCAAGTACTAAATGTAAAATTATTTTTTATTATCTTACATAAACTTTATTTATATATTTTTTATAATTATTTTTTTTTTAAAATTGCTTTAGAAATCATTATAAATCGAGATAAAATAAAATAAAAACAAACGAATATATGATTGGTCATGTCTCTACAAATTGTGAGCATCAATCATTTGAAATAAATAACGTAAGTTATATGATAAGAAATATGAAATAATACCTATTCAAAAATTAATTATCATAATAGTATTTAAAGAAATGATATAGCTTTTGGTTATATAAGATAACAATATTTTTAGTTGGATGAATCTTTATTTTGCGTAGTAAACTTTAAGCCCTAAAAATAATAAATTTGCATCTCTTTATTTAGTCAATCATAATTGAGAAGTCTTGACACTTCTTTCATTAAAAATTTCTAAAATTAAGAGATAATTTTCTAATCGTACTTTTTAATTTAAAATTTAATTTTTTTAGAGCATACGTTTCCCACGTAATTTTGAAAGAAAAATAAGAAATGGACATCTGGAAGGTATGTTCTTTTAGTATTTACAATTTTTTATTGTTTTAATTATATAATATTAATATATTTTATCATAAAAATAAGTACAAATTATATTATTGTCTACTTAACTATTAGCTCTTTTTAGTTTAATAATAGATATTTTTAATTTTGTCAATCATCTAACTATTTAATTGTTGTCAATCAAATAACTAGATGTTAACAATTGATGATAATGTTGAGCATAGTTAAAAATAGCATAATTATACACTTAGGGTGCGTTTGGTTCACGGAATGTAAGATTACCAGTGGGAATAAAAGATTATCAGGGAATAGGATTGCTGGGAATGTTGTATTTTGTGTTTGGTTGGTTTAGTAGGAATGTAAGATTACCGTGTTTGGTTAAATGAATAAAAGATTATTAGAATGTATATTTAACCAAATTGTCCTTATTATATATTTGTATAATATTACAAGTTGTAAAAAAATTATATATTTTCTTTAAAAAATTAAATTCATAATATTTATATAAATTTTTTACAAAATTAAGAATATAAAAAAGTTTTAATGAAAGGGTAAAATTTTATTCAACCCCTGAACTTTATATAAAATTTTAATTATAGACTTTTTTTTTGTAAATCTAAAATAATTTAAGGATAAATTTGTAATTTAACATTCGTAGAATTTTTATTATTCAATGACAGAAGAATGATATTTTTGAAAAAAAATAAAAATTTAAAGGCATTTTAGTCCAAAACGTCGGTAATGTTACAATACCTAAGGGAAGAGAGGTAATGACATTCCCGGTAATATACCCCCAAAAATCCACTATTGATAATAAAATATTACCGGGAATGACATTCCCGGTCAAACCAAACGGGAGAATGTGGATTCCATTCCCGGGGGAATCCCACATTCCCCCATCCAAACGCCCCCTTAATCTTTAATATTTACATATTATATCAATTTGATCATAATTTAAATTTAATTTAATAAATTAATAATTCAATTAAGATGTGACATGTGTCAACACATAACCATAACACGTGTCGTTAACAACACATGTTGTTAGTAACACGTGTCACTATTTGATTTAATTAATTAAATAAATTTTCTATTCAATTAAATAGTGACATGCATCATCGATATGATTGAAGGAAAACAAGTTACAAATGAAAGGTAATAGAAGGGATTTTGGCAGGCTCAAACTTAAGTCCCAAGAAAGGAGGACGTACGCCTTCCCCATTGAGCAGCCCTCACAATTTACATTAAAGAAATACACAAATAATATACATACTAATACGGAAATGAGGATTCAAAATTGGTCAAATTTTTTTTTGAAAGCACTAAAGGATCGAAGAAAATCTTATATTTGTATGGTAGTTGGATAGATTTCATATATATATATATATATATATATTAGTTTATACAAAATCAAAAGAAAAAATTAAATTTAAGATTTCTACCGTTTTTAAAGTAGATTTAACATTTCTATTTTTCACATTTATAATTCATTAATTATATATATAATCTTAAATTTAATTTTTTAATATAATTAATAATTTTATATTTTATTAAAAAAATATATACACAAAATATAAATAACTTATATATTTAAATATATAAATATATTTTTATTTATACATTTTTACACTTAGAGATGACAATTTAGTTTGAAATCGATGAATTCCGATCTGATTCAATCAGATTGAGTCGATTTTTTTTAAAATCGAATTTGAGTCTTATCGGATTGAATTTTATATAGGGGTTAGGTCGGGTTCAGGTGATGAGTAAGATTTCTCTGACTCGACCCAACCCGTGAGTAATAGTGTGATTTTTTCATATAAATTTATTAAAATAATAGATATACATTAAAATACCAAATGCATCCGCCCTGCCTAAAAGCGGTAGAAGAATAACTTTACTTTTAGAACCGTCGTGCACTCTATCCCCTATTATTGCCCGTGGAATTATCTAATCTTTTCGCTTCCATTTTGTATTTCTGAAATAATTCGCTTTTAAATTTTATTTTTGGTGGAAAACTAAGAGAAGCGGTAAAAGAAAATTTATGACTTTTCCTTATTATAAAAGTTTTCAAGATAATAGTTTGTGCGAAATGAATTAAAAATATAAAAATGTCGACCCTGAAACTGGGAAGACAACAACAAAATAATATAAAAATGACAAATTTATTAGTACCAAAGAGATGTTTTTTAGGCATTGGTTGTTTGAGTTTTTGTTGGTCATTTCTTTCTCGATCCTGTTTTGCTTATAATGTATTTCGTCTTTGTTTAATGGAAGCCTTTGTTTGATAAAAGGAAATATAAGGTGGAAATGCAGGGCTGAGGAGAATCACTGACAGATTGAGAAAAGAGGGATGGAAAATGAGTCCTCCTGCAAAGTGTTAGAGATTTTATCTTCTTTCGTTTTAAAAGAAGAGAGAAAGACAGCAGTAGTCGAGTCAAGCATCTTGCTTTGTGATTCCCTTCATGAAAACGACAACTCTCGCTGCCATGCATTTCCTTTCGTACAAATCACCAACCTTTCCGGTTCAACACATTTACCCTATTTCTTTTTATCAACCAATGATTAACATAACAAACCAGAGACTATTTACCATGTAACAATTGGCAACCTCCTCAAATTTACTCCAAATAGTGCCATTAGGGACAGAGAAATGAGTTATCTGCAGTAATTTTAACTCAGTAAAAAGCAAATTACATAGTGGGTGTAAGCAATGCATTCCCAGCAGCATTTTTATATTCAAAAACTATCCAAACCCCAAAATCACTCTAAGAACAAAAGCTATCTCGTATGCATCTCTTACATCCCACATTCATCTCATGCCTAAAACTAAACCTAAATAATATATATATATATATAAAAGAAAACATAAGCAAAAGAAACGTACATAACTCGAGATTAAACAAGCAAAAAGGGGGAAAAAGTTATATTATATGAGTAGAAAAAAGAGAGTTAAGTAAAATCGGACCGCGACCATCAATTCCCCGCAATGCAATGGTGCGTCTCTCCCTAGAAATTCAGGGAGAGAGCAATGCAAAGCCTCGTTTGTTTGTTTCGCCATTCTCTTTCACCCGATTTTGAAAACCAGCCATTGGATGTCGTACCACCGGCACCAGCTCCGACCACCTCTTCCCTTATGTTTCCGGTTCGTATCAGCAGCTCCTTGGAGGCTTCTGGCAATCATCTTTGGCACTGTCAAAGGATAAGTAAGTGAAGAATATATATGCATGTAGCTAAAGTTTAAGGTAAAAAGCAAAGATGTCAAGTAGCTTAGTAAGGAAAAGAGGGTGTGGATATATGAATTAGGAGGACCTGGTGGGTCGTATATAAAGGCTAGATCAAAGGGTTTTTGCTTTTGTTGATTTAAGTATTAAATCATTTGCTTTTGTTGATTTAAGTATTAAATCATTTTTCTAATGAAGATGTTAAACTATGGCTTGTTAAAGTAAACGGTGAATAAGGGCCGTAAAAGAATTGGGTTATGTCTTTATATTGATTTATTTATTTTCAAATGTTTTATGTTCAATTTATTTAAATTTTTAATATTGTGTATGTTGATTTATTTATTTTTTAAGGTGTTTATGTTTAGTTCGTTTAACTTTTGCAAATATGTTCGTTTATATGTTTGTCAACACGTTTGTTAGCGTTTGTGATCATATCTATTTAGCAATTGAAAATTTGAAATAAAAGGAAAAAATATTAAAATTATACCACCAGTCCTTAAGCTCCTTGAGCCTCACGGTTTGAAGTCCAGAGTTTATTATGAATTCAGTTTAGTCCATATTTTCACCAATATTTAAAATGTAAAAAATTGGAAAAGGTGAATGAGTAAATGAGCTAATAATGAGTCAATAAATGAGCTTATAAATAAGTTTGTTCGTAAATATTAACGAAAACAAACTTATCTCTATTTGTGTTCGTTCGTTTATTAAATAAATATACAAATTTTATTCATACTTATTTATTTATCATAATAAACAAATATAAACGAACGTTATACAAACATTTAATGAATAATTTATTAGACGCTCTGTTTATTTTACCTATGACGATGAAATAGTCGGGTCCAAGGTAGGGTTTAAGTGCATGTTTGTGGGGAATGCAAATAAGTCCACTATCTCGAATTCTAATGCTCTCGCAGTTTTCGTATTATCTGTCGTGTACGAGAGAGATTGAGAGCATTGATGGGGGTTTATTTGTCTCTGCATGTGAAGCTGCCTCCTATTTTAATGGCTATCTTTTTAGTTTAATTATTACCATATTATTCAGATATGAGAGAGTTGGGTATTTGTAGTCTCCACGGCCAGTGCTCGGATGTTTATTGGAATCCCACCACCCAAATTAAACACTTTGAATTTCTTTCTTCTTAGGATGTCTTGGGCAAACTTTAACTTTCTTGGGATAAAATATAACAAAAAAAAAGGAAATAATTCCAAAATACGATAGAGTTTTAAAATTATTTTCACTATTATATGTTTAGGAGAGTTTTATTTGATGAATTGTGTACGAAGAAAATTAAGAGACCTCCTCTTAATCTTTTTCTAGAATATTAATCAGTCCTCCATTTTGTTTTAAAAATGTGACAGACTCATGTTCATTATTCACCGGTTATCAATATATTAAGCTTTATATCTGTAGGACCTATTGAGTGACCTCAACAGTTAAAATAAATGTTATTATTTCTAGAAAATTTGAGTTCAAGTAGTTACGTCATTTTGGTGTGTATACGTTATCAATATACACTTTTAATATCTTTATCCAGAAGAATCTCTCACATTAATATCTTTATAATTGTCATTCTTAATATCTATAAATATATATTTATTATAGATTCATAACTCTCATTCTTTATACCATTTAGTATTTATAACTCCTAATTTTGGAATCCATCAAATGACTTTAGTGGTAGGGAGTATCGTTCACCTTAGAAGTCTTAGATTCAAGTAGCTGTGACTGCAATGTGCGTATATGTTATCAATGACTAAAAAATATTATGAACAAATATTATCTTATAATCGTCCTTTTTTTTAAATAAGCTTCTTGTAAAAATAGTGTAAAGTGATATAAGTTGCGTATCAATAAAATAATGTCTTCTCAATAATAAAGTACTATAGCAGTTGAATTTATTTGAGTTGATTGTAATTAAAATTTTGATATATTATTGATGTCCGATAAGTCTTGCACCCAAGTGTATTTGATATAGCTGCATGCAATTGGAACATCAAGCTTAATAAAATAACTATACAGAAAACGTTGAGTGATTCAAGTATCTTCTCGAAAACAATGTGACATACACTATCTCACAACAAATAATTTTTCCAACAATCTAAATAAAGTAATTTCCCCCCGACATATTACCTAAGAGTTTTTACCCATTCAAACTAATTAATAATATTATTTTTTCGCATCTTGTTTCAGAAATGATTGCCATTTTTGTAATTAGGTTCTTTTTCCAATAATTAAAATAATAATATTATTTTAATAATATAGACACTCATTTTTTCCAAACAAAAATATATTATACTTATTATTGTTTTAAATATTATATATTACATATTTGCAGGCCCTTATCCTAACTCAAATTACAAATCCAGAAGACTAATACTCAACAGACCCAATAATATCGGATACACCCGAAAGACAACCGCGATAAGTAAATTTGCCTCATTACTATTGTATGCTCGAGAAATTGGTTACAATAACGTGAGAGCCACCGATGGCCGTCACCTCAATATTTTTCCCGTTTGTACTTGGTAAAAAAAACGGCAGGAGAATATCAACTAAAACCATGGATTGTTCAACACAATTAAAAATAATAATTAAAACAAAACATGTACATAAAAAACACAACAAAAATATTATATATAAAAAAATTCTGCTTATCCCAAAAAAAATATTAGATCTTATAAGTAAACGCTTAAATTAACCTTTACATCTTATTCAAAATAATTTATATTGGATAAATATATAATTTCATACCGTAAATGTCCTTTAAATTGATTTTATGGCCACTGATCACGTGCCCTGCGTCAATCTTTGATCAAATAATTGGTCCTCTTAACTCGAAACTCAGCTAGGAAACGGCACTTTTATAGTCACCCTTAAATTTTTTTTCACGCTTGTACTTTGTCAGAAAGACGGCAACTGAATGTCAACTCACTTCTTTTATCAGCCTCCCCGCTGTATGCTTTGTTTTCCTACAGTATCTCTCTCTCTACTGAGAGGATTGACGACTCTATCACCCCTAAAATTTTTCTTCCGTCCTTATCCTTTATATAAGAGAAAATAATTTTAGTGATATAAAATATCTTATAATATACGATTTTAATTAATTTTTTTATTTATAAAAATAACCAACAAATTCGTAACACGAACTCCAATTTCGCAACGATTTTAATTAATTTTTTTATTTATAAAATTAACCAACAAATTCGTAATACGAACTCCAATTTCGCAACGTGAATTTGGAATTCGCAACACAGAATTATAATTCGCAACTCGAACATGGAATTTTCGCAACGCGAATTACCGATATAGATAAACATAACTATTTTCAAATTCGCAACTCGAATTCGGATTTCGCAACGCAAATTTCGTTTTCGGAACGAGAATTTCGTAACACGAATTACCGATATAGGTAAACACGATAAAAAAAATCTGGTAAAAAATACGAATTCGTCAATTTGAAAACTAGGTTGCGAATTTGACAAATTCGACCCTTAAATTTTTTTCACGCGTACTTTGTCAGAAAGACGGCAACTGAATGTCAACTCACTTCTTTTATCTGCCTGCCCGCTGTATGCTTTGTTTTCCTACAGTATCTCTCTCTCTACTGAGAGGATTGACGACTCTATCACCCCTAAAATTTTTCTTCCGTCCTTATCTTTTATATAAGAGAAAATAATTTTAGTGATATAAAATGTCTTATAATATACGATTTTAATTAATTTTTTTATTTATAAAATTAACCAACAAATTCGTAATACGAACTCCAATTTCGCAACGTGAATTTGGAATTCGTAACACAGAATTATAATTCGCAACTCGAACATGGAATTTTCGCAACGCGAATTACCGATATAGATAAACATAACTATTTTCAAATTCGTAACTCGAATTCGGATTTCGCAACGCAAATTTCGTTTTCGGAACGAGAATTTCGTAACGCGAATTACCGATATAGGTAAACACGATAAAAAAATCTGGTAAAAAATACGAATTCGTCAATTTGAAAACTAGGTTGCGAATTTGACAAATTCGTGTTACGAAATGTAAAATATCGCCTCTTAAATAAAAAATCATTTCGACAATTCGTTTGTTTGGTTAAAGTTAAACAAACGAACAAACATGAACATTCCATCGTTCGTGTTTGTTCAATTCATTTACAGGCGTAGATTTAGCTGAGTGATTTATAAGTGGACTTAGCAACTGGGATGTCACAGGTAATTCGCGTTGTGTTTACCTATATCGGTAATTCGCGTTGCGAAAACGAAATTGCGAATAGTTGGGTTTACCTATATCGGTAATTCGCGTTGCGAAAACGAAATTCGCGTTGCGAATTCTAATTCTGTGTTGCGAATTTCAAATTCGCAACATAGAAATTGGAGTACGTGTTACGAATTTGTTGGTTATTTTTATAAATAAAAAAAATAATTAAAATCATATATTATAAGATATTTTTGGTCACTAAAATTATTTTTTCTCTATATAATTATACTTTATAAAAGAAAAGATTGACGAGCCATAGATCCTGCTGCTTCATCCTCCAGAATGGATCGAAGTTCCCTCGAGAGAGAACGAAGACTGCGTTTGCGGCAACTCTTTACTCGCCTCCATTCCCTTCTCCCTCCTCAACCAACCAAGGTACGTACTCCACCATAATATCATTTGTTTTTTGATTGGTTTTAGTATGAAAAATATTGAACTGCATTAAATTAATCATCGTAGATTTCGACTCTCCAAGTGTTAGAGCAGACGACCATTTACGTAACCCAGCTGCGGAATCGAATGGCAGAACTGAAACAAATGAAGTTGAGACTAGGAGAGGAGTGCAAAGGCGAAGGGAGTTTGATATCTCCAGTTATAAGTATAATAGATTTGGATTCAACACTGGAAGTAAATTTCTTTATGGAGTGGAGAGGGAAGCTCCAGTTATCCAACATTATGAAAATCCTCATGGAAGAAGGAGCAGAAGTTGTAAGAGGTGCTGCAAACCACAGCAATGAGGATAGGATCATATATTCAATTCACTGTCAGGTACAGTTCATATATAAAACAATATGGAATTTTAATTAGTAGTTAATATTATTTATGATTATTTATTCGGTTTAAGGTTTACGATAAAACAATATTACTTATTGTGTTGTCTTTCCCGCAGCCCATCAATTGTAGAATTGGCATCGCAACCTCAAGAGTTCAGCAGAGATTGGAGAACTTGGTTTCTTGAAGCAAACTAAGAAAACAAATTTGTGTATTTGTACGGTGTTGGTATTGGCTTTTAGTATTCATAATAATAAAAAATGAGGTTTTAGCAAACTTGGTATTCATTATGGATTTTTTGCTTATTGCGTATTTGTACGGTGTGGTATTTATATAGATAGATTGTATTCTTTTATTTATAGAATATTTTTTTGAAAATAAAATGAGAATATTTTTATAATATATGTTCAAATAACACTCTTAATCTTTTGATATACGCGCATCCCATGACATTCTTAGTGCTCGAACTTAAGACATTTTAGGAATAATAATAATTATTTTACCACCGAGATAACCAGAGTTTATGCGTATTTTTAAAAAATATTTAACAAATAATTGTATAGAATGATAAAAGATTCATATATGATGGCATTACTTTTATGTTTGAATTTTAAATAATATATTTTTATTGTATATACGTAAAAATGTATATATAATAATATTAATTATTATGTAAAATAATGATATAACAAAGAAAGAAATTTTTGAATTCTCAAATATCCACATGACCAGTCTAAAACAAAAATTTGACATAGTTTTTAAATAAATCAAAATTTTAATTAAATTTAATTATAATATATATAAATAATTAATTTAAACTCTCATTTCTCGTATATTCAAATTATAATATATATAATATAAATTATCAGTCAACTAAAATGACTAAATTAATCTCAATATTGGCTAGAAATATAAATTAAATTATTATTTTTAACAAAACTCCCATTCCTCGTATTTCCAAGTTATTTTATCTAAATTTTAAGTTTTTAAAGTTTAAGGACCAATTTAAAATGAGGGTCATACTTTGAGGACATGTGATGCAATTAACTCAACAATAAAAGTAAAACATTTTGAATATTTAAATTGTTACTAAACTAACAAATTGATTTTTTTAACTAAAATTGTTTAATAATATAATTAAGCTTTCTTCAGATAATTGTCAATTCAATGAAAAAATCATTGTCTTGCTATAGGCTAGGGTTTGAGTTCCTATTTTCTTCAATTGTTTAATTTATTTTCTTCGATAAAAGTGGTGATATATGTTGGTAATTTTTCTAATAAATCATCGGTGATCGGTATATTTATCAATCTAACACCGGTCAGATTATATTTCCCGATTTAATACCCGTAGCAGTAAAGCGCACCTCCTGAACCGCGCTATACGCTGATTTGACGTCACGTGGGTATAGCACGCCCCCTGCCCCGCGACATACGGTGATTTGGCGCCACGTGGGTATAGCGCACCCCCTGATCTGCGCTATACCTGCGTATCTGACACGTGGGGTATAGCGCGGTGCAGGGGGCGCGCTATACCCCTAAGTACCCGACCCCTCACATCTCAATCCTCCCTATAAATACCCCATCCTTAATCACTTTTATCACACCAAATTCTCTCAAATTTTCTAAATTTCTCTCAAATATTATCTCTTTTTAAGTTATATTTTATAATATTTGGCAGCATTAACGCACTGTGGGTAACTCCAAAAAACCCAGTAGAATTTGCATCGATCGCGAAGAACTCGATCATTATGGTATGCATAGGAGGTTTTGAAATTCACAATTTTCCCAGGATTCAACGTCCGCACCAGCCTAAACCAACCTGGAAGTTCGTTGTAAGATGCATCCCATTCGCCATGAAGTTTGACAATGGCATTTTGTTTTGCCAACCAAGCTTTTTTATAGGAGACGGTGTACCCATACTGCGATTGTGTAGCTGAAATCAACACTGCAACAGCTATATGAGAGCTTGCTTTTACCATGGGCATGATTGCTTGACATATCACTTCAGAGTCCAAGTTGGGATGATCTTGGTTGACCCCTCCAGCACAACATGTGTGAGGACCGTTGTATACTGTTAGTTCCCATATGCTGTTTTTCCTCTTCATTTTCGATACGCGAACCATCTAATTGCATCCGTTTTCGCGTCGGGCACAGTAGCATACATATTTTTCGGTCGTCGATCGGTTGCCTCTGGACTGAACAGAATTACGGATATTGTAATTTTTGATAGCCATCGTCGCTTCTTATTTGCTTGAAAACTCCATGCCTAAAGATAACTCACCATTATTTATTGATGAGTAATATCTATAGTCATCGAGATGAGGCATATCCGCAAATTCTGGCCCGTACATTGCACCATAATCAGCTTCATACATGTGTGCAGGAGGGTCAGATTGTGCCACATTTCCTGGAACTTCATCATCATCAGAGTTGAATTGCGGTGATCCTGGGTGAATGAATAGTCCAGTCTCAGCACCATCCGCACCAGGCTCACGAAGCGGTTCTTATGGTGGATATGATGGTTCCTCCATGCTCTCTACATTTAGGTCGAAGAACCTACTACTTGCACGCCTTCCCCTTGAACTGGGAGGCATATCGACATTGAGATCGAAAAAGCTCGCAGTCGAATGCCTCCCCCTTGAGCTTGAAGCCATCGTGTCAAATGGAAACTGCACAGATGGTTGCGTTGATGACATCTCCATATGGTCAAAAAAATTTGCAGATGAATGCCTTCCCCTTGAACTGTACGCGGTGTTGCCATACGGATTGTTCGTGGACCCACCTCGGTACATATCGTAAGGAGTTGAGGATGAATGTCTCCCCATTATGGCATTAAAATCATTACACATTACTGTAGTCGGGCTCTCAATTTGTTCAGCCAGCCCATAGTGTGAGCTTAAAGATTGACCCCAAACAGCACACACTTGAACAAAATATGTATACATCTCAATAGCGGCGTCTGAATAATTACTTTGAGCTTCAACCATCATTTGAACATCATCATTGTTCGAAAGTTCGAACGCTGTATAAGTTAATGGCAACAATGATGTTGGAAATCTGTACTGCAACGACGACATTCTTCTATTACTTCCAACATGAATCTTTCTCGAAATCTTCGTTATCAGCTCCTCAAGAGTTATGTTTCTCTTGAATGATATTTTAACACGCTCATTTGATACGAAAACAATGTCGGTTTCATCTTCTCGAATTTCACATTATAATAAACAATAGCTGAAAGTCGCGCCATTCTTTGAGTTTAAAAGTGCGGTAATATTATATCTGCAAAAAAAATAACTTAAACAAATCTGATTAAATAAATTATATATAAACGAAAATATAACACAATTTTTTTTTACACATCAACGTAAATAATTTAAATAATATAATTTTATATTATTACCTGCACCGCAAAACTATTTTGACGTATGCTCCCGCTTTTCAATTTTACAAATATAAAAATTAATTGAAAATAATTAGTATAATATTTTTTTCAAATAATGATAATAAACAATAAGTATAATTAAAAAATTATAAAAAAATTACCTTATAACGAAAAATCGCACGAACTTCTAAATTAAATATGAGAAGATTGCCAGAATTATTATTCGTTGACGAAATTGTTGTATTAATTTATAAGAGAGGAGAGATGCAGGAGATGTGATGAGAGATGCGATATTTATAAACATATAAGGCGCGGTACCGGCACCGCGTTATATGTAATTATTATATAGCGCGGATCAGTGACCGCGTTAAATATAATTTTGGTACGGCGTATAGCGCGGCCCCTGATCCACGCTATATTCCTACGTGGCGTATAGCGCGGAGCAAGGGGCGCGCTATACCCTACGTGTAACCTAGTCATCGTATAGCGCGGTACAGGGGGCGTGCTATACTCCACGTGGCGCCAAATCAACATATAGCGCGGTTCAGGGGGCGCGCTTTACTGCTACGGGTGTTAGATCGGGAAATATAATCTGACCAGTGTTAGAACGGTAAATATATCAATCACCGGTGATTTTTGGGAAAAATCGCCATATATGTTATTATCTTACTGATCGAAGATAATAACATAGAAAATAAAAAAAAGATAAAAAGATTATATAAACATCATATTAATTTTTTAACAATAGGTGATTAAAATAAAAAATATAATATTAAAAATGATTTTATAAAATAATAATTTAGTGACTAAAATTTAAAAGAAAGGTTACTATTGTTGTAGTTTATCCAAATATCAAATAAAAAACTTATAAAATTTTACTAAATAATCGATTAATAGTATGCTAGTTTTTTTAATAAAAAAGATTGATTATAATAGAATAATATTTAAGTTATAAATTTAAATATTTATAAGAAAAATAAATCAGACTTATTATTGAAAAATAAATTTATATTTAAATTAATTAATTCATAAATTAAATATCTAAAATATTAAATATGAATTTACATCCGATGATCGTTATTATAATAAATATTTTCAAAACTTAAATTATTCCATATATATTAAATCAATATTCTAGCCATTATTAAGTATTAACCGTATCTATGAAGTTCAATTGCCTTTTGGAAGTCGGAACCCACCATCCGGACCAACTTCCTATTGCGTTTTGTTATCTCTTTGATGTCTCCATCGTAATATCATATATTTTTAAGAAAAACAAAACTTATGTTTCAAAAGGTTATTACTTTAAGAAAACTGATTAAATAGTTTTTGTTTTAAAAAACTAATTAAATAATTTTGAGTAGATAAGTACATGACGTCCTGTTAGCATTTCATTAAAATGCCATCAAGTTGTTCAAAATATCACTTTTAAACTTAAATTTTTTGACTTTGGATCAAAAGCGTGATTTTTAGACAACTCCAATATGGACCATTTTAAAAGGCTGTTTCCCTAAAGAAAATCCGAAGATGAACTGATGATTGAGATGTTGCCGTGGATCCTGGACATCGGTCATGACAATACCAATAACTGTAAGGAAAGAAACACAAATGTGTCGTTGTCCGATTATCTCTGTAATAATTCACCCGAGGAAGGTTTTCTTTCCCCTCTTCAAATCCAGCAAAAACCTTACGTGGAGCCATTTGATTGCCTGCCTTTTAGTCCATTCACCGTTACCAAAAGCCAGCCAAGACACCAACGTTTAACATTACTCAGAAACAAACCACCGAACACAATATACTAATCC